TCACATGCTTGAAAAAATCTTGAAAAAAGGGGGTTTATCAAGCAATGGTGAAACGGCAATTATACCATCAGATAGCGCAAGAAATTCTCTACAGGATGTGCTACTGAGAAGCAAGGCAGAATGAGTTTTTAATCAGCAGTGAATGTACAAAAAATAGGTGCACAAAACGCTGAGAACTTTCCGGACAACCTAATAAAACCGAACAGGCCCGAGCTGCTAGGTATATGGAGAGGCTTTGTTCTTAGGAATGCTTACTACGGTTCAAGTTATACGGAGATTTCGATTTCGACTCACAGACAAGCATCGAACCTAATGCCCTATTGAGTCCAACTGAAGCTTACTGAATTACCTTATTCACGGAGATTCATGCCAAAGATTGAGGAATCGTTAGAGGTCATAGAATGCTTCCTTATCATTATCAAGCATCACCCTCGATTGATGTTAGACGTTCGAAACTTAGGGTGCAGGTTCTGCATCGCTCTTCCTCCCATGCGAGGCACATTTGCAAGGTCCGAATTCCCATCTCCTGATCGATTGAACCAACTTCAAGGTGGCGTAAGATAGGCGTAAGGATCATCTTTCCCTTTTTGTCATAAGAAGCACATTTTCTTGGCTATCACATGGTTAGAGCTTCTCCTGTAATTTGAGAGCCGAGATAAAGTGCAAAAAGTTGTTGTCGAAAACTCACTTTTCTGTTGACCCGATACTCCATTTCAGTGTAATAAAAACCAATTAAATCATGAAGGGGTAGGAAGGCAATTCTACTATGTCATAGAGCGGGAAATTATCTATCGAATAGCAGAACACACCGGAAGCAATTCCCCCTTATGAAAAATTGTGTACGAAAAAAATGACATTATTTACGGACCAACCAAATACATACATTTTCGATATTAGGCTCTTACGCCTAATATCGAAAATATCATAGGGAGAGCTAAACATCGCTTGTTGATACGCAAATCTCAGCAGTAACTGTATGTAAAACTTCAACTCCACAGAA